CCCCCCCCCCAAGAAAACGGGATACCCAGACAGCCAGGTAATCCAAGAGGCTACAGAATGTGCTGATGGCAGAGGGAGAGGGATAAATGTTTCAGGTTGGGGGCGGGAGTCACCCCCAGTCATGGAATGAGGGTCACCTCATCCCCCACTGTATTCTTTAATTCAAGGGGCTCACATGGCAGACCCCAGATGATGTGTGGTCTGCACTCCCCCCGACCCCGAAGTATCTCCTCCAGGGGAGAGAGGATCAGAGCTGCTCAGGTGCCGGGCACATCCCACAGGAAGAGGCATGAGGGAGGAAGGGGTGTCAAGGGAAGGGGGCTGGGAAGCTGGATAGGGTAGAGGTCCCAGACGGAAGGAATGGGGAGGGGGCAGCTCGATGGGGACAGGTCTAGGGGAAATAAGGACAGAACAGAGCTGGGGAAACAGAGACAGGGCTGCCCGGGTCAGAGGGAAGTCTGAGGAGCAATGGGGAAAAGGGACAGCAGGGAGCTGGCATGCGGCAGCCAGGTGGGTGGGGGCCCAGGGCTGGGTGCAAAGCCACAAGTTGTTGCTGAGCGGCTGGCCTTGGTGTCAGCTTCCTGGTAGAAGCAGCTGCTCTGAGCCCCCCACCCCCACCCCTGCTCCGGGATGGGGGCGTCTTTTGGTTGCTACCAGGGCAGCTGCTGGAGGAGCAGAGGGTAGCCTGGGCTGTGGGCAGGGGAGGAAAGGAGGGCAGAGAGAGGAGAGAGGTTCAGTGAGAGCAGCAGTGGAAGGTCAGGGAAGGGAAGAAGGAGCCTCAAGTCCTTCCTGCGTCTAGGCCTCCGGCTTCCTAAGATGGACAGTCAGCAGTCCAGGCCACAGAAAGGGTTCTCCAGGCTGCTTCCCTCCCTGGCACTCAAGTTCCTAAGCAGACAATGACAGAGGAGACGGCGAGCAAAGGAAAGGGAAGCCTCACTTTGGGGGAGCGGGCTGGCCAGCAGGGGTGGGTGGCACTTAAGGATTTAGCCCCCCATACTTATCCTTCTCTCTGCCTGGACTTGGGGGGGGGAGGGGAGCCTTCTGGGTGAGTTGAGGACACGGTGCTCCTTCTGTCCCCCTTTTCACGGTTCTAACAAACCCCTCCCTTAAGCTGTGACCTGGGGATGGGGGCTCAAGACAGTGGGGTCACATCCACAGGCACCTCCATCTGGCCCAGCACCCACCTTCTTAGGCCAGAATCAGGCTCAGCATCTGCCAAGCCTTTTGGTGCTCTCTGGCTTCTCCCCGCCACCACCTGGAGAAGTGACAGGGGCACAGTCTTAAAGGAGCAGGAATGCCCAAACATGGAGAAGGGGGGGGGAAGACTGAAGGGATCGCAGCTTCGAGGGAGTTGAGAGCAGGAGGCCGAAGGGAGGAAGGCTTTACAGGACACTGCTGCCAGCCGGGCCCTTTAAGGTGACTCCTACCTCCCCCAACTTCCCAGAGGGAAAGCTGAAGCCAGAGAGGGAGAGCCACACGACAAGAGCTGCAAAAGGCTGGCCGTCGGGGAGCCTGGGGGTGCGGACCGGGAAGGCACTGGTTCTCTTGGATCCCTCCCGCTGGGGTCTCCAAGCCCACGGTTGTGGGTGTGCCTCCCCTCCTATGAGGGCTGAAGCTAATGGGAGAGGCCTGGTTCTGAAGGACAGGGACATAGAGCCTGGCCACTCCCTGACCGGTCCCAAACTTCAGCTCAACCATCCTTATAGCAAGGCTAGAGGGAAACAGTCTCTGAGGCTCTTCCAGCCAAGACGTGCAGGTCCTGGAGTGCGGGGTGCTCCTTGTCCCCCTCCCCCACCCACTTCAGAAGGCAGGTTCCTGACGCTGGCGGGGGTTTAGGGGGAGGGGGAGCCTCATAGCACCAGTTGCTGCTAGATTAGGAGGGGATCATGTCTTCCTTACCCTGGGGCGCCACAGCCTTCACTCACCACCTCACTTTCCAGAATACAGCACCCAGATGTCCATACCATCCCCTCCTTTGCAAGGTCAAGTCTATCCCCAGTCTCCTGAGGCCAAGGTTTGGGGGAGCCCCAGGGATTAGACAAAACTGGGAGAGCCAGCAGGCTTCCCCCAGCTAGCCCCCAGCCTGGGTGGCCTGTGAGCCCAGCTGTCTCCTGTCCATCTCCCAACAGGACGCAAGGCCCAGAATAGCAAGGTCATAAGCATGGGTAGGGCCTCCTGGAGGTGGGGGAACGGTGGCTGAGGGGCGTGAGAACGTAGGCTCCCTGCTTCCCCGGGGAAGGAAGGTGAGAGGCAGCGCTGGGTGGAGGTGAGGAGGGGAGAGGGCGAAGCACAACAGGCGGGATTCTTCGGAACCCGGCCCCTCCTTGTGGACACCCACCACCCACAGGGCTGGGAAACCCATGGCTGCAATTCAGCTCAGAGAGCAGAGCCTGGGTTTAATGGGGGCGCTGCAAGCAGTGAAAGGGGTTGCAAACTCCTGCCCACGGGGCTGGGAAGCCCACGTGAGTGAAGTGGGCCAGTAGGGATGGAGCAGATGCGGCAAGAGAGCGGAGGAGCACGTGAGGGTGGATCTTCTGATTTTCTGGAGAAGCCAGTCATCTGAACTTGTAGGTGAAATCCCAATGGAAACACTATCCAGGCCAAGCAAATCATATCAGCAGCTCCAACCCAAACGAAACTTCCCATTTTACAGGTGAGGATACTGAGGCCTGGAGAGGCTAACACCTGGCCTAGGCCAAACAGCAAAGGAGAGGAAAAGCTAGGAGTGAAAGCCAGTGCTCTCTGTCATCTACCCCCCAGCTTCCCAGCCTGGCCCCGAGAAGGGGAGCAGCCAGCCTGCCCTGGGCCCCTCCGCAGCCAGACTCTGTGGCTGCCACGTTCAACCTCTCCCAACACGGCCACTGTGCCCCAACCCCGCCCCCACGATCTCCCTCTGCCTGCTTTCTCCCTCGGGTGGGAAGCCTTAACTGAAGAACTTAGAGCAAGAAGGGTCCTTGGAGGTTGCCGATCCTGCTGTTCACTGTCCGGTCCCGTTAAGAGAACTTGGCCGCAAACCCCAAGAAGCACTATTGGGCTCTGCACTTACCGCTCAACAAACAGGACCGCCCACGGGGGAGCAATGGGCCGAAAGCACAGGGCTAGAGGGCAACAGGGACTTGACCTGACGCAGCCTTCTGGCCTCTCAGCTCTGAAGCGGGCAACGCCGAGTGGGCTGCTTTCCTGCCCCACCTGCCCCAGCCCCCGCTGCAAACAGTGGCCACAGCCATCACGATGGAACTGAGATAAACCCTTTTATTTATTTATGCTTCTCCATTTTGTTTAAAACAACAACAACAACCACCTTAATATAACGGACAGCCCTTCCCCCTCACCCTTCCTCGGGCTGGGGGGGTGGTTAATGGGGAAAAGGCCCCCAGGGGTGGGGCTGACCATAAGAGCCCCTCAGGGAGGTAATGGAGCCCAAATCCCCTGCCCAGGGGATGGGGCACCTGTAGTGTACGAACCGGGGAGTTAACAGGGCTCTTGAACCTCTTCTTGTACCAACATACATGCCCTTGGCCGTCAAGGGTCAGGAAGCACGTGGGGAGGGGATTCCTACCGCTCCTCTACATCCCTGCCCAGCCCCAATCTCATGAACTAAGGGCTGGGGAGCAAGAAGAGTGGAGAAAGAGCGGGGTAGGGTGTCTCACACGAAGGAGTACTGGTTATTAATGGCTCTGGGATGGCCCCCTTCTTCTCCATCGCCCCCTAGTGGTAACTGCTGCAGCTGCACCATTGGGGTGGCCCCGGGGTCCCCACCAGATCCAGCGCCTCCCAGGGCCTCCGTGCCTGGTGCTACGGCCTCTTCCAATTCAACCACGGGGACCAGCTCAACCACGGGGACCAGCTCTTCCTGGACCCCTCCACTGCCCGCTTTCTCTTTCTCTTGCCTCTCTTTGGCTGCTGCGGCTGCTGCTGCCGCCACTTCTGGCGCCCCCGACGCCTCTTCTGCCCCAGGATGTGGGGGATCTGTCCATGAAGGGGGTTCAGGGGGCTGGGGTGGGTCATGGGAGGTGTTCGGTTCTGGATAGGAACGGTAAGAAGACAGACTGTGGAGGGGAGGCCAGCTCTTGCGGCGGCCTCCCCTGCACTCATCCCCCCAGAAGCCACGTGCTATCTCCCCCACATCCCGTCTCCTGAGCAACCCCCCCCGTCCATGGAAGATGGATCATGGGCGGCGGTGAGAGGAGGACCACACTTACACACAGTCACTCGCTCCGAAGGGCATGAGGGTGGAGGAGGCATCGGGGTAGCATCGATCTCCCTCGCACACCCCTGCATGGCTCCCGGCCTGCTCCCGGCCTGGGGGAGGGGGAGGGGCAACGTGGGGACAGATGGGACGTTGGGGTGGGGAAAAGGAGAGATCAGACAGGGACGTCAGACATCGAGGGAGGAGGGGAGGATCAGACCCCAGCATCCCCAGGAGGGCAGGCCTGGGTGAGATTGCATTAAAGACAAGGCTGGAGAGGACCGATCCAAGAGACACACAGATGATGGAACAGAGGGGTCTGATGGAATGGGGGATGCAATCGCCCAGTTGCTTCCTCCCTGCCCAGTGAGCCTGCCTCCCTACGTCCTCAGTGTCCTGCTTCCCCTCCCAAAGCCCAACACCCAGGAGCCTGCCCTCACTCTCCCTCTCCTAACTTAAGCCTCCTCCTCCTCTCACAGCCCCCCTCTCCGCCTGCTGGCACACACACCTCCCCCTCCCTCAAGCTTGGGTGCACGGGCACCTCCTCCCCTGCAGACCTGCTCTGCTCACCCTGCTGTCGCTGGGAGTGACACTCCATGCTGACAAGAATCACTGGGAGCCTCCAGACTCCAGAGGGGATGGGGCGGAAATGCTCGAGCATAATGAAATGGACTGGAACCACAAGTGCTGACCCGCACTGACCTCTCGCTCAGCCGCGACAGGCCAGGTGCTGGCAGGCAGGATGAGCAGAGTGAAGCCGGGAGCCCCTCTCCCCTGCATCGCCACGTGCTGCCTCTCCGCCTCCACTCCGCTGGCTCACTGCGCGTCGCAGACTCTCTTCCTCACTCACCTTGGCCTTGCCCTGCTGGAAAGTGAGGACGATTCTTCCGCCTCACTCTGACGTACCAGGAAGACGCCATGGGAGCCGTGTGCCTCCCGCCAGCACTCAGCTGGGCTGCCTTGAGTCGGTGAGAGCATCCTGCGGGAACCAAGGATATTCCCGGGCTGGTTCTCTTCACCTCCCTCTGACTCCCTCGAACAGGAATGATCCTTCACAGGAAGGAGAGAGAGGGAAACCTGCAGAAACAGGGGAAGCCTCCCCATCCTGGGAGAAGAAAGCCTTGCTTTCCTCACACGCCACCTCTCCTCCCGGTCAGATCCTTCAGATCCCAGAGGAGAGTCTCCCCGGGGCAACTGCCCGACGACACACTCTCACCTCTGGTACCTGGGGTCACTGAGTGTCCAGGGGTGGGTAGGAGCTGACAGGAGGGCTGTGCTCATGGTCCCTCTTCGATGGGGATACGGGGGCAATCCTGGGGAAGTAGGCCCATGGAGTCAAAATGGGAGGCTACATGGAGGCGGAGCTGGGGGAGATGGGACGCCGAGGGCGGTCTGGAGAGGCCCCGTGAAGCCCCTGGAAAACAAGGAGGAGGGACAGGCTGGGAGAAGCCGGCGAAACTACTCTCTTTCTGCCAGGACTGGTCATCAGCTACCAGCCAGTTCGTCCGCCGACCGGCACGTCATCGGGCCGGCCGAATGTCCTCTCTGTCAGCGGCGTCGTTATTCTCCTCTCTCATCCAAGCCCCTGACTGGGGGACTTCTCTGCTTGTACCGCTGGAGGGACCAGACGGACCGGCCCGAGGCCTGGGAGTCCAACGCATCACTTATTTCTGAATGACAGCTGAAATGACAGTGACTGTCATGGAGGTGGGCGCCTTAAGAATCCTCGATATTTTCGCATCACATAGGGTCTCTTTTCTCAGCCTTCAGGACCAACTTCTCCAACCCTCAGAGACGCCAGAGACCTCTCCTAACATGTGCCCAGCCTAGGGCGACTCCTGACCTTCACGCACTAACTGCGTTCTCCATGCCAGCTCGGAGCATCCGTCCATTTGCCCAGGGGCTCCCCCGCCCCCTTATTGTGGTAGGCCAGCCCCGCTTCGCCTCTCTCTGGCTCTGTTCTTTCTCACTTTCTGTAGTATCTCACTATCACCTTCCCCATTCTCCGCCCTTCTTCCCCGAAGCTTCTCGCCTGTGCTGTTCAGAGAACAAGTACAGGCTCTCCCGCAGCTAGCCCCCTGCTTCAGAGGGAGCCAGAGCCCGCCAACTCAACCAGACCGAGCCCACGGAAGGCAAGAGAAGCCTGCCTCAGGCATCTCTCCGGCTCTCTATCCTGCCCCTCCCAGAGCCTCGCGACAAGGTCAGGGGAGGTAGCAGGCGTTGCTGAATGCTCCGTCAGTGGCAGGCCTGAGCTTCACGGCAATGGCATACGCTGTCAGCACCAGAAGACAGTAGTGGGTGCAGGAAGCCGGGACCGGGCGTGGCCTCTGCGGTCGCGACTCCCCTAGGTGACCTCAGCAGAAAGCCATTTCCCCTCCCTGGTCTTAGCTGATGATTGAGGGGTCTGGAAACGGTGAGAGATTGGACCTAATGACTCGTATGTCCATCTTAGTTCCAAATATTCTTAACCCATTTGTTTCTCAGTGATCACAGCCAGGCACCGCCATGAACCCAGACCCAGAACAGAGGAGTGAGAGAGTATAACTGAGTTCACAAAGGTGAACTGGGCAGATATGCACTCCGCCTTGGGCTGCCTGTGTGTGGGTAGGGCTCCATCTTTATCAGGCCAAGAAGTACAGAGTCGAGAGAAGATCTCTCAGCACAAGGACAGGTACAGAAATAACGGTAAGAACAAAACAAAGATAAAGTGTTCCGGGGACAATGAGTAGAGAACCACTATGTCCAGCCAGAGGAGTATATCTGCACAAGGCTTACGGAAAAGGAGAAAAGGTCGGACACGAAGGTTGGACGGAGTTCGGGCCTGTCATATGGTATGCATGACACGGGTTCTAAGTGGCAAACTACGGTAAGTACGACGCGCGACTCCGGCAAATGGGGCGCAGGCGTTGAGGGGGCGGGACTGGGGCGCCAGGAGGGAGGGCCGTGGGGTCTCTGAAGCTCACAGCGCCTAAGGTTCACTACCCAAGCGACAGGCTGTCATTGCTCTCTGTCCAGCAGCAAGATCCTGGCTGGGCAGGCCTCTCTGGAGTGATTGAGGGCAGGCAGCTCCAGGCTGTCTGTGTTCTCCTCGTAGTGAATGAGGTCCCAGGGGCCAGGGGAGGGTCATGGGGTAGAAGTGGGCAGGGTCTGGAAGAGACAGAAAATGGTGTTGTGAGGCACCGTGTGGCAGCCCCAAGGCCTCACCCCCCACCTGGCCTCTCAGTGACAGCAGTCAGGCTCCCCACTCACCCCGGCTCAGGTGTATTCTGGATGTCAGACACCAGGCTTTCACATGTAGAGCATCAACTGTCTCCCAGGATGTACTGAGGGCTTCTCCTTCCACCTATGGGGACAAGAGGCCCACGGGCCACTTCCGTCCCGGGAGGCCCCAGCCACCCCTGCTGACAAATACACTTCCCCCTTTCCTTCCTCCCCAGAGGGGCTACTGCCCCAGACACACTCTCGAGGTCTCTGGGCAACATACAGGCACTTCCTGTCACCAAGTCTTGTTTGTGCTATCCTAGCTTTTCTCCCCAGAACAAGGCCTCCCCCGAGGCAGGGGAGCCCAGAGCTCCCTACCTTTAACCACAAACGAAAATTCTCCGTCAGGCAGGGGCTGTGGTTGTCCCAGATCGCCTGTGATGGTAGAGCAGGAATGCTGAGTCGGCGGCCGCAGACGCTCTGCTGGGAAAGAAAGCAAGAGCCAAACTTTCCGTGCAGGGACCCTTCTGCCTCCCCCCCTCCCTCCCCTCCAGAGACCCATCTTTCCTCCCAAGCCCAGGAGTCAGAATAAAGGACCACAGCACTACTTTGGCGGCAAGGCCCACAGCTGCTCCCCCCAGAGTCAGGAGAGCGCCAGAGAAACCAAAGCTGGCAGGGCGCTGCAGGCTGTCCCACTCCTGCGTGGCTCAATCAGCCAGCCTCCCGGTGGTGGTTCCCCACTCCCTCCCGGAGCCCCCCACCTCCCCTCGGGCCTCACCTTGGGCGGTACAAAGGAACTCCAGACGCCTCCTCCTCCCTCCTCCTTCTCCTTCACTTCTCAAGCAGCAAGTTTGGATTCTGCCACTGGAGGCTGCCCCTCCTCCCCTGGGAGGGCAGGGCCCAGTTGCCCCTCTCCTCCCCTGCCCACTCTCAAGGCTGGGTCTCAGCTTTTCAGCCCCCTCATGAAATCAGCAGCTCTTCCTCTGCACCATCCTCGCTCCATCCTTCAAGGCTCCCCCCCCGCCTCTCTACCTCTCTCGGAGTCTCAGCCTCTCAAATCGGTGAGTCCATTGTCCCCGGGATAAAACGAATCAGGCCCCTGCCACGGTCCCAGCCCCGCCAGAGGCTGGAGTTGCTGGGGGTTTCCACTCCAGGACTGGGGGGGCCCATGAGGTTCTCAGGGGCCTGTGCTGGGGAGGGTGGGTCAACGGTCCCCGCCACTGCAGGCGACTGAACCGCTGACCTGTTTACCCAGTCATGGAGATGGAGAGAGAAGCTGCTTTTGGGGCTTCAAGCTTCGGCAAGGAGGTCAAGAGGAAGAGATTGAGGAAGGAGGGGCCGCCAGGTCCTCAGATGAGAAGGCCCAGCACAGCCAGGGCCCACTTACCCCAGAAGTCCTTGATGTGAGCTTGTGGGTCGCGGTGGCTGGATCTCCACACCGACCTCAGGGGAGCCAGATGGGTGGTGATGGAGTCTGCCACCAGTCAAAATGCTGCAGGAAGAGCTCAGCAAAACGGCGGGAGAAGGCAGCCTCAGCCCCGGGCCCTGCATACTGGGGGTGGTGGTGGGAGGCTTAAAACCATGGCAAAATCCAGGGCGGCAGCCCGGGCGTGGGACTCACAGAACTCCCGCCAACTCGGGGGAGGGGGTGGTGGCAAAGGGGGAGGGGAGGGGGAGGCCCCGTCCTCCGGGGAAGGGGCACCATTCATGATGGTCCCCAGGAGGTGGAGAGGGGGAGCCTGTGGGGAGGGGCAGCAAAGAGGGAAGCGGCCAGAAGACACGGGGTGAGCGACAGCAGCTGCAGAAGGAAGAGAGGCACATACACCGAGTCACTGCTGAGGTGGGACTGGGGGCAGAGCCCCACCCCGAGCGGACTCCCCACTCTGGTCTGGACTCCTCGGAAAGCAGTGGGGAACACACCACACCGCCTCCCTGCCCTTTCCCAGAGCCTCACACCCCACCCACCCCATTCAGCTGGCTCCCTGGGGGGAGGGAGGTGCACCTGCCCCGCTGCCTTCCCAACCCACTCCCCCTGGTTCTGGTTCCAGGAGCGACACGCGGCCGCAAAGCACCTGCCTCTAAAAAGGAGTCTTTACCACTCACACCACCTCCCTTCTCCAAAACAGGTCCTTCGAGGTTTATCACATGCTTCCCATGTGTTCTTACCTTTCCCTGCAACAGGCTTTAATAACCTTGATAATAGGTGAGGAAACCGAAGCTCAGAGAAGTCTCAGAACTCCAAGTCTACGGTTTTGCCCACTGCATAGTCCTCGTCCCCAGGGACTGGCTGGACCAGCCTGTCACAGCCCCTCCCTGCCCCAGCTCTCAGGGAGCTAGGTCTGCAGCGCTTAGAGACCCTGCCTCGCACGTCCTGAGGTCCAGCTCTGGGGAGGGAGTCTGCTCAGTCAAGAGGCGGAATGGATGATGGACTGAAACCAGAACTGTCCTGAAAGCGGACCCCAGGGCCCAGCACCCCAGCACGGTGTGACAGAGGCTTGGAATGGCCACAGCCCAGTTCTTTGTGCCTTCAGCCTGGGGCCCAGAAGCAGCAGCACCAGGCAGCACCAGGCGGGGGAAGACTGTGGGTTGGGTCAGGGCAAGTCTTTCTTGGCCACAAAGTAAATAAAACATAACAGGGAGTTGGGGCCCTAGGGTTTCTCACTTCCTCTTCTTTCACTGGGGAGGGTGCCCTAAAGGCTGGTGAGCCTGGTGGTTAAGGCTGTGGGACGTGGAGTTGGACCTGGGATGAAATCCCAGCTCGGCCACCTATTAGCTGCGTGATCTTGAACAGATCCTATGTCCTCTCGGAACTGCGGGCGTGTATCTATAAAACAGAGCTCATGATCCCTAACTCCTAGACTCTCGGGGAGAATCAAACGGAACCTGTCAGGGCTTGGCAGAAAGCAAGCACACCATAAATGCCTGCCCCGTTATTACTATCTTTATGGGTTCCAATTTTTCCAAGAGAGAAATCAGAGAAAGGAAGAGGCTTCCCAAGCTCTTACAACTAGCAAGTGGCAGAGCTGGGCCTGGCATTTATAACCCATGGCTCTTTGTTAGTGTTCCTCCCCCATATTACGTTGGATGATGACTGGCACCAGGGCTGCGGGGAGGACAGCTCAGGAAAGTCTCCCCAAACCTCAGACTCCTGCTCAGACCCACAACCAGCGACCCCTCCCCTTCCTCCTTGGCCTAGATCCTACACATTCAGATGGCTCCAACCACAGGGACAATTCCAAACCAACGAGAAGCCAGGAGACGCAAGAGTCATGGAGCACAGGGGAACCGAGCCAAGAGGTGCAGACGCAGCAGGGAGAGCGATCTCCAGGCAGTGGCCACCTCGGCTCACACAGGCCCGCCCAACCCTCTGCACCACTGGCAGACCCGGCCCCCTTCAGGCCCGCTGACCCTGCGGCTCCTGAGCTGGTGACTCAGTTTCTCTTCTGCCAAGCAAGCCTCAGACACATTCCCCCGGTGCACCTGCCTCTGGGCTCAGTTCTGAAATTTCCCGAAGGGCGGGTGGTGGAGGGTGCAGGCTCCGCTCCCGGCTCGGACCCTCTGGGCCCGGTGGTCAATGCACTGCGACCCGACCCTACTCCCTGGACACCCTCGACCCGCCCATTCCCCGGGGCCGCAGCCGCCTCGGGACCAGCTCCGTCTGCTGCACTCTCCGGGGCCGAGCGCCCCTCCTGCCTCTGCCTCCACCCCCCACGCCCGCCCCCACCCAGGGCTCCTCTCAGGCGCCGAGGCCGGGTCGCGGCGAGGGAAGAGGTACTTGAAGAGGGGGGGTTCCGGTTCCGGTCCCACCTGCATCTCGGTCCCCGCGGTTAGCTCCGGCGGCGGCGGCAGCTCCCGCTCCCTGCCCCTCCCCCCGCACTCCGCGACTAGCTCCCAGGCCGCTTCTGCGCAGGCGCCGGGACCCCTTTTCCCGTCACCGAAGGAAGCGACCATAGAGAAGAGCTGCGAGAGGGAAGGGCACCTATACGCTCAGTTCCGCCACCTTCCTAGTCCGTGCAAACCCATCGAGTGCTGAGAGGGGGGTGACCCTCGGACGGCTGAGGGGCTTCTCCGCTTGCTCCTAAAAGGGACCCCAAAAGCAATCATGGGCAGGGGGTGGATGCCACCAGGCGGCCTCTCGAAGGAAAGTCGGGACAAAGGAAGAGGCGTCAACCACGAGAAGCCACCTTAGGGAATAGAGTCTCGAGGCCCTGGTGCAGGCTAGAGGAGCCACCGGGTACCGGAAACCAGCGAGATGAGGAGGCCCTTTCCAAGGCCCGCCGCAGCCTAGAGCGTCTGGCCCTGCGGCTGCGGGGTTCGCAGACACCGCCCCCGCGGAGCCCGGCGAGGGAAGACGCGGGTGACCTTGGTGGAGGCCCCGAGAAGAGGCGGAGCCTGAACTTACGACCTTGGCTTCCCGGAGGAAAAGAGGTCTAGGAGGCTCCATCTGAGACGAGAAGGAAAGATGAAGGGCAGAAATAAAGACCTCACTTTGGACGTGCTTGTGGGACGTCGCGGGGGGCAGGTGGACATACAGAGGACATACAGTCTGGAGCTCAGGAGAGACATAAAGACCAGACACAGAAATGGAGAATCATTAAGGTATAGAGAGCCGTTGAAATCATAAGCACAATGAGATCAGTCATCTCAGGTCTCTCGCTGACCCAGCTCCAACTGGCCTAACTAAGCAATAGGGGGGGAATCTTGGCCGAAGCGATTGAAAAGAGCGGCTCTAGCTTCTTCAGGGACAGTTGAATAAAAGAGCCAAAAGATAGGAGAAACCTGTGGTTCTTCTCTAGGCTCTTCTTTCCCCATGCACTTGGCCTCACTCGCAGGCCGGCCTATCTCAGTGGTAAAATGGCTTTCTTTGGCTCCAAACTTAAGTCCTAATAGCTTAGCAACTCAAGTAGAAGCAGCATGCTTCTTTTCTGAGATTTGCAATCAAATTTCCAGAACTGACCTTAGCTGATTGGCTTGGATCAAATACTCATCCCGGAACACAAGAGACTGGAGATGGATAAATCCCCTGACTCACACAAGAATGTTTATTCAAGGCTGAGGCTGCCAGCTGGAGTTGGAAAAATTCGTTGTAGAAGGCAAGTTCCTGCCTAGCCAGCTGTACTCCCCCAGCTCTGCCTCTGCTCTAACCAAGCTGACATCAGCCCGCAGGTGGCCTTGGCTAAGGTCTTCATTGCTGTCTTTGTCCATGCATCTTCCCAGTTCGGAGGAGGATGTCAATTCCTCCCTCCTCCCTGAAACCCTTACACACACTTCCTCTGTAGTTTCCAGTGTCTGTAGTCTCTGAGGTTTCTCCCCGCTGTTTCTAGGAGAGAGGCACAGTTGAGGAATGCAGAAAGGCAAGGGTCTAGTGATGATGAGTTAGGTTTGGAAATGTGTCTCAGTTGTCCGATAAAACTTTCTGCAACGACAGATGTTCTGTATCGACACTATCCAATGTGGAAGCCACTAGCCGTGTGTAGCTATTGAGCACTTGAAATGTGGCCGGTGTGACTAGGGAATGGAATTTAAGTTTTAATTAATTACAGTAGCCACATGTAGGTAATGACGACTGTATTAGTGCAGGAGCGGTCAAGGACAACTAGGCGGAGCTGTCCAGCAGAGATAGAGCTACACTGAGCTGCATAAAGCAGTTTGGTGGCGATCAGAAGTGAGTAGTGGTTGAAGCCACGGACATCAGCGAGAGTGTGCGGGCAATATCGGTAGAGAGAATAGGGCCCCAGACCTAATTCTGGAAAACAAGCCGCACTTAACAGGTAGGCAGCGACACGGGAGTAGAAAGCGCCGAGATGATGTCTTAGGTCACGTTTCCCAGAAGCACACCTTGAGAGGAGGATTTGTGTGCAAGTGATTTAGTCAAAAAGTGCTACCAGAAGAAACCAGTAAGAGTGGGAGAAGCGGGAGAGGGAAGGAAAGGAAACGAAGCAAACGTATGACCTCAGGCAGAGAGTAGTTCAACTTGATCCTGCAGGGGAGCTCTGGATGAAGGTTATGCCTCAGATTTGTCCAGAAACAAGGGACATATACCCACGTTCCTCAGCTTTTGACACAGGGATATTCCTGGAGACATCAGTTTATCAAGGTGAAGCCCCCAGTGGCCTGAGGGCATTCCTCCAAAAAAGAAAAAAAGCTGGGCATTCTTACTCTCGGGAGAGAAACCACACAACAAAGTTGGGAGGGTGGGGCAGTTGGGCAGACACATCACAGGCAAACGATTAAAAAGGAATCCATGGTCCTGACATGGTCTCCTACAGAAAACATTGACAGCTAATGACGTGTGGCCGTGAACAAACGGTCACGAAAGAATTCTTGAGATGTTTTTGACGCAAAGAGGTGCTTTTATTATAGCACGGGGACAAGACCCATGGGCAGAAAGATCTGCACTTTTGCTGTATGACGGTGGTGTTTATATGCTTAGTGTTCAAGGGGGAGGGGGTGTGCAGGGAGTATTAGATCACAAATGTTTTCTTCGAATTTCTACTCATAAAACCACTTTCGCAAGATTTCTCTGGTGCTTATCATTCGGTTCAATATTAACTATCGGTGAGATGTGCTGACAGTCACGAGACCCTTTAAGACTATAGCAGCCAGCACGTATTTGATCCTTGTCAGAACTCTGCAGGCTTTAGGTTAGTCTTCTAGGCTGAAGGTGAATATTTTTCTGCTTCTATCCCTCGGCAACTTAGCGACTGCT